ATATTGATGTTATGGTCAATACTAATATCTATCTTACTTAATAATCATTTCCCCTTCTTCTGTCTTCTGATTTGTGACTGTGAGGTTTTACACATTCGATTGTCGTTAGTTGTGTACCATATTCTGTCATAATCAAGTCGAAGATCAAAAACTGAGTGCTTTGATCGCTTATCTGCTATTCCGCGTAAGAAGAATATTATACATATATTCACAATATTCCGAATTGTTCATTAGTTCTACACAAGAAGTTCAATTTAGTCATTTATATTATCTTTGGTATTGCAAGTGATAGACATTAATGTGTGTGTAGAACCCATTCTCAATTTGTAAGTATAACCCTGATAGGAGTCGAACCTAGGGCATTCAAACCCTGAGATGATAGCGTTATTTTCGGACCACATCTCCAACGTTCATCATTTTTCAATATTATGTGACTATCATTCATTGGTATCATTGATAACTGCCTCACTTATAATATGGCTGAACTCAATCAGTAATTAATATAACTCAGCACAGAAATGGAAAGGAATAGACTTCCAGATGAAAATCAAGAGGTTCTGAATTGATAAACAAGCTTCCTGTTCATGCACCTAACAGGGTACTTCAATGACAAGAATGAGATTGAGAAAAGAGTTTTTCTATTGCCCAAATGAGTCATATATATGAATCCTTTTGGAATCTGATTTACATTTTTTCACCAATGACGTTCGTCATATTCCTTATAGAAGAAAGTTGCTTATTGTTTGGTCGATGTCTGATTGACCCACTGTATAACATACATTCATAAACAAGAACGAGAGAATTATTCACCCAATGGACTAACCTCTAAAAACAATTTAATGAAACATATTATCACGAACTGATCTTAATTCGACAGCTATTAAAAACCACCAAGATTTGAGTAGTTGTTTCGTTCTAGTTCGGGACTCCTCAGAAGCAAAACGCATACATAGCACTATCGGTGATTAAATCTAGAACCTCAAAGCAAGCGCTAAACTTTTAAACCATTCAGTCAATTACCAATGATTTACATATTCAACTTTAATCAAGTCATAGTATTACGTAATCATCTTTAACTATTTCTAGTAAGCAACTACCTCATACCCGTTTTAATTGAACTCCATTGATCATGGATTCTTATTTGATTCTTGTGTGTAAGTACTATCATTTAAAAGTTCCATACTAACACAAAACTTCTGTTCTGTACTATCTAGTTTTTAATGGTTGCCTAACTGAAATCAATTCCTAATACAATCTATAAAGACCAATAATCTTCACAAACTCCTATGACTATTGAGTATATCATAAAACTATCCAACAATCTATTGATTAATAGATAAACCTGTTATAACTTGTGGTCTTTGTGCCCTGTTAATGTATACGGAGTAATACCGGCAATTAGAGAGCAGTGAATTATCGATCAAACCAATGACGTGCAAAACTCGTACGAACAATCTAGAGCCCTTATCGGTCCTGCTTTCTGTCTAGCCCTGCTTGTTAAGTTCAGAACATCAATCTCAGCCTCTACAATATGAATCATTTATTACAAACATACTTACTTTATATACAAACCAAACAGACCACATCGTACCATAAAATAGGAAACAACATTTATACAAGATTTAGCCAAATGTGTCTGTGAATATGGGAGGTAGTAATTGATAGACAGGGTATAATTCAACAGAGTTAAAATGGTTTGAATAATTTTTTCTGGTTAGCGTTTTTTTAGCGAGTTAGTTTTCTATGGGATGGGGTTGCTAACCCTGGTGATCGACTGGATCATGAAGACATCAACATCTGAAGGGAAGCACGGGATACAGTGGATAGCTAGGATGCAATTGGATGATCTAGACTTCGCAGATGATCTGGCTCTTCTATCGCACACACAACAACAAATGCAGGAGAAGACAACCAGTGTAGCTGCAGCCTCAGCAGCAATAGGTCTCAATATACACAAAGGGAAAAGCAAGATTCTTCGATACAACACAGCATGCACCAATCCAATCACAATTGACAGAGAAGCTTTGGAAGATGTAAAAACCTTTACATATTTGGGCAGTATCATCGATGAACACGGTGGATCTGATGCAGATGTGAAGGCACGGATTGGCAAAGCAAGAGCAGCATATTTACAACTGAAGAATATCTGGAACTCAAAACAATTGGCAACCAACACCAAAGTCAGAATTTTCGATACAAATGTGAAGACAGTTCTATTGTATGGGGCCGAAACCTGGAGAACTACGAAATCCATCGTCCGAAAGATACAGGTGTTTATTAACAGTTGTCTACGCAAAATACTTCAGATCCGCTTGCCGGACACTATTACCAACAACCTACTGTGGGAGAGGACAAATCAGGAAGAAGCGTTGGAAGTGGATAGGCCACACATTGAGGAAAACACCGAACTGCGTCACAAGACAAGCCCTCATATGGAATCCTCAAGGTCGAAGGAGGAGAGGAAGACCAAAGAATACATTACGCCGGGAAGTGGAGATAGATATGAGAAAAATGAACAAGAGTTGGATGGAACTAGAAAAGAAAGCCCAGGACAGAGTGGGTTGGAGAATGCTGGTCGGCTGCCTATGCTCCATTGGGAATAACAGGCGTAAGTAATTATAATTCAACAATGGTAAATTGTATAATAATAGTTTATGGGTCCGAATAAAACTTATAATAGGAGAGACATGAATATGAATAGTTTAGTTATTTAACAATGATACGATAAAAATATACAGATAGTATTGGTTCAAAGTGGATCCCAACAGTTACCATTCATTATGCTGATTGGGGCATAACAAAACCCAGTAGTGAAAAAATAAGATTTTATAGATCTGAAAAAAAGTGAAAAATGATCTTGAAATGATCTGTAATAGTAATAATAATAATAACATACTACAGTGAATAAATTTAAATAAGAATGCCATAGAGTAAACCGGTAATCATACCACATTGTCAATATAGTATGGCAACTACCAATAAAGTGTAATAACATGAAACGATGTATATATATATATATATATATATATATATATATATATACCTGGTCCTAGGTTGTAGCTAACTGACTGATTGTAGTATAGCATAGTATAGTGTAGGGTAGGGTAGGGTAGGGTAGTGTAATCATTTGAATAGTTTTATCCAAGACTATTGAAATTCTGACATAATCATTGATTACTATTATCTATGATAAATGTATTTTATACTTATTGTCTGATGAAAACAACAACAACAACAACAAAAGAAGAATGTTCACTTCAGACTATTCCATTCTATTTATTCTCATAAATCAAATTGTAAATTAAAGTAAAGTAAAAATTTCTAATTGAACAAATCAACAGTCTATAAAATCTTGTTGATTTCCGTTTCATTCATTTCCTGTTAGGGGGGGGTGGAAAGAAAAGTAAAACAATGAGGGAAAAATATTGTATTTACTTTTTCTTAACATAAAGATTGAGTTCTTCCTATATTACTTACTTACTTACTTACTTACTTACTTACTTACTTACTTACTTACTCCTTTTACTCCCAGTGAAGCATAGACAGCTGATCAGTATTCTGAAATTCACTCTTTCCTGAAACTAAATAGTTGCTATGAATGTTAGAAAGGATATCAGCTTTGTGATTTCCAAAGGAACTTGGCTTTCGCCGTGAAGCGTTATAACTCTTATAAATGATAACTTTCTAACATCCAGGGTAGAGTTTAAATGGTTTGAATTATTTCTTTCTGGTTAGAGTTTTTTTAGTGAATTAGTTTTCTGTGGTATGGAGTTGTTAACCTTATGCACAATCCTCCTTTTTTATCCGGGTTTAAGACCGGCAGTAGCTCCAGAGGGGCTCCAGGCGGAGTTATATATATATGGGGAAGGGCCAAACCAAAACGTGGCATCAGTCCTTGAAGTTACTAACTTCAAGTCTGAGCCATGTTGGTGGTAGATGCAGACTACTTGGTTGGAGTCCGCGTGACTAACGTAACCAATGGTTGAAGACTCTGAGTGAAATGCCTCAGAATCGATCACAATGACGTTAGTGTATACACTCTTTGTCTTCTCTTAAATCATGAGAACGAATTTTTTGTTCCTGTACTATATCCTTGTACACAATCTTTATTTTATACATTACTATCATTGAAATGACTACTATGAATTCAATGTTCATCTTGTTGTGCTAATGAGATATGGCAACTTGGACCGATGCCTATATGTGCCTGGTCATACGTTGTAGCTGACTAACTCATACATATTTCACTTAATTTTAAGCACTTTTTCTCAAAAAATATAAGATAATTAAAGAAAAAAGGTATAAAAGTTTATACTACTAATGATAATAATTTACTGCACAGCATAGTACCATCAACCACCATTTATTATTATTATTATTATTATTATTATTATTATTATTATTATTATTATTTATGTCTTCTATCTCTCTTGGGATATAAGTCCCAAACTGGAGATTTCCAATCAACTCTGTCTTGAAGTCTCTTTTCTTGTTATGATCATGTACTACTCATTGTTTAATATCTAACTACAATTCCTTACACCATATGGTTTATTTGTCTGCCGCTTTTTCTTTGGCTTTAAAAATTTTCTAAATCTTCTCCTCTCTGAAAGCTGGCATGTTCTGTGTGACAATAAGTTATTGTTGATAAATTGTAACCAATGAAACTCGAATATTTTGAGTAGATAACGGTCATGTGTGATTGCTCAGTGTATAGTTAATTTGTAACTAGCAAAATACTTTAGACAAGAGTTTCCTGTTAACTCTATCTAATCATCATCACATCGTTATCAGCAGCATTAGCATCAGCATTATCAACTATGCTGAAATTCACTTCTTTGAAAAAAATATAACAAAAGTTTATACTTCTGAGATTTAATTCAGTTTCTTTTACGTTTTGTTCAACTATAATTTTATTTTCTTATTCTTTTATAAGAGTTGATTCTTGTATTTGTACTGCAACGCTGTATGTTTTGTCATTGTTTATACCATTGTATATGTTATTTAAAGTCTCCACTCTCTAATGTAGTAGTAGTAGTGGTAGTAGTAGTAGTAGTAGTGGTAGAGGTAGTAGTAGTAGTAGTTGTAGTAGTAGTAGTAGTGGTAGTAGTAGTGGTAGTAGTAGTGGTAGTAGTAGTGGTAGTAGTAGTAGTAGTAGTAGTGGTAGAGGTAGTAGTAGTAGTAGTGGTAGTAGTAGTGGTAGTAGTAGTGGTAGTAGTAATTGTAGTAGTAGTGGTAGTAGTAGTGGTAGTAGTAGTAGTAGTAGTGGTAGTAGTAGTAGTAGTAGTGGTAGTAGTAGTAGTAGTAGTAGTGGTAGTAGTAGTGGTAGTAGTAGTGGTAGTAGTAGTGGTAGTAGTAGTAGTAGGAGGAGTAGTAGTAGTAGTAGTAGTGGTAGTAGTAGTAGTATTTATAAAGAAAGCTCCATACAATTATTTTAGTATAACTGAACCATGGAATTTTTGTAACTGTCATTCCTTGTCACTAGTGACAACTCGATTCTCAACATGGTTGAACATTTTAAGTTAAGAATTCGCATCTAAAAGGTTCTCAATAAGCCTTAAAATGCACTGGTACGTTCGAGAATGAGGAGAGTCAGCTCTCACTCTCTCCAAACGCTCTCACATAACCACGTACATACAACCACTTCCCAGGAAGTCTTAATCACAGCCTTCTCATGGCTGGAGTGTTATTTACGAAATGCAGACGAATAAAAGTGAATGTCTAGCGCTTTAACCAGATTCATGGATACGAAGAATCCACCTGAGTGAGTTGGAAATCCCTTATTCCAAACCAACGGTGTACATGGGCTCCAGGATCTTCAGTAAACTAATGGCATATGAACCTGTTGTCTGTTGACTGTATCTCTTGACGCTGCCCCACTTTCTTATGGATTAGATCTTCAAGTCAAAGGTTCATGAAGTGGCCTCCTAAGAAAACCATCTTGTTCGGTTTGAATGCCCGGACAGTATTCCAGCTCTCACACAAATTGAATGGTGAAGTTTGGTGCCTTTTGTACGAATGTTTAAATGAATGATAATAATAGACCTAAAAAGTGTAAGCAATGATATCATATTAATATTGAATTCCTCAATTGTGATCATTTATGATGTCACCAGAGATCAACGTTAAGAACACGAGGCCTCATTCAAAGAGCATAACTTTTAAATAGTTCAGTTGTTATTAACTAGTTCACACCTCTAATATCAATTTCGGACTAGATCCCATACAAGACCAAACATGTGCCTTATTGAAGAATATCATACCATAATGAAATCATCTTTGAATATTATCGAGTTTTAATGATTTTCCAATGGATATTAGTCTCATAATTCACTTGATATTGTTTTACTTGAATCATCTCATTGATGTTTAATACTGCAATTAATCAGTCTCTTTCTCATTGGTATATGTGTATACTGTGCGTATTGCTTCGATATTACCTTAAATCATAAACATAATTATCAAAGATGGATAATAGCTAGCAGTGAAATTCAGTAAGACTCATGTTTCATCCTATTTAGGACTCATCATAATAACTAATTAGATAACATAATAACATTCAAACTGAACAGTACTAAGTTCAAATCCTAAAGTCAGTATCAACTCGGAAATGTAATCACATCCAACTGATGAGTCCTAAATTGGACGAAACACCTATCCTAGATTCCCTTAAACTAGCCACTAACCATCTTTAAATATTAGTCTATGTTATAAAACATTTCATTCTAGGAACTTTGTATTTTCATTAGCCTTTACATAAAATAATCTAAATAAGTTATACCACTTATAAATGACATTTAAAAACAGATGTGAACATTCTTTAAATTGAAGAAAATAAAAAGGAACACAGTATAGTGATTATGTAATAGTGTTACTATGTTCCTTTCTTTTTTAATTTAAAAAAAAAAAAGAAAAGAAAAGAAGGCAAAAAAGAGAAAAAAGAAAAGAAAAAGAGAAGAGAAGAGAAAAAAGAAAAGAAAAACACTGATGATGATAATAATAATGTAAGGATAAGCTATACATAGAAAGTACAGATTTCTTCTTTATTCCTACTTTATCCCTTTTACAATTTCCTATTTCATTTACTTACTATTACATATTTATTCATTGATATCATTATTGTGTTTTTTTTCTTTCTTTAATTAATGGGTTGACATTCAAAATATAATAGAATGAATGATAAAAACTATTAGTGAATAGTAACTATATCCTATATCCTATAAGGCAAGCCCTAAGTTGAAATCCTGAAGGGAAGCCAAAAAAAAAAAAAAAGAAGAAGATCAAAGAACACATTACAGTGGGAAATAGAAGAAGATATGAAAAGGATGAATAACAACTGGAAAGAACTGGAAAGAATTACCCAGAACAAAGTTCAATGGAGAATACTGGTGGTTGGCCTATGTTCTTTCACGAAAGGCAATAGGCACAATTAAATAAGTAAGTAAGTATAAATACATTCCATTTTTTTTTAAATTATGATCAATTATCATTATTAAACTATATAGAAATGTTTGTAGGTATGTTCATATGGTCTACCAGGGTGCTTGATACCTGTATGGTTGCGCTACAGGATTGATCTGTACTATTCAGATTGTAGCGTTAAAGTCTAAAAGGTGTCTTGTTCTCCTGTGAATCGAGATTGGACTGTACTGCTCGGTTTATAAAACTTAAGCCTGGGAGGTGTCTGGCTCTCCTGTTAAACAGGGTTGAGCTGTACTGTTTGGGTTGTCACGTGAAAGTCCAGATGGTATCTGGTTCTACTGAATACCAATGTAAAATTACCCTATTCCACAAAGGTATATTATATAACTAAGGTATGTTCAAAAGGATGTATCTATGTAGATGTATCTTTGGAAGGTATAATAGTGAAATAAATATTTTAATAGTTGAGATCATGAGTCAATTGAAGCTAGACGATTATGGAAAACCTAAAAACATTCGATGGCCGTTTCGTGTTAGTATGGGAATCCTCAGTGGTAGTGCGAATCTACGACCCCAACTCGCGAGACTTGAACCCAAGATCTATCAGTCTTGAGAGCGAGTACTTAACCACTAGATCACTGAGCTGGCCGACATCCAACAGTGTGAATGTCTAACTTCAACCAATCCATGAAGTTTAGCCACAGTACACCATTGTCTTCAGTGAGCTGATATCTCACAACAGACCCGGTTGAACTCCACTGGTCACTGTTTTTTACTAGAACTCCATAAAATACCTATTGAAGCCAGTCACTAGTCAGCATACGACATTAATACCGTTGGTGGTCTAGTAGTTAAGCGCTAGCTCTCAAGACTAAAAAAGATCTTGGGTTCAAATCTCGCGAGTCAGGATTGTGGATGCTCACTGTCCTTGGGGAGTCCCGTGCTAACACGAAACGACCATCCAGTGCTTTTAGATTTTCCATGATGTTCTAACTTCATAACCACTTACTAGTCCCTAGAAGTCCTTTACTCTTGAATTTTAAGTACAAAAAATAAAAGATAATATACATAAGAGTAGATTATAATTAAATGGTCAATTCAAGTATGAAAGATTTAGAGTATTTATCATAGTACTTGGGTGGGACAACCCATCACAACTTAACATAAAATTACCGAGTTATTTGGTAAAATATAAAAATCATATGTTCAATCGTTTATTTGTAAAATGTCTATTCGTTGTTTTAGACATTATTATCCCTTCAGTTCCACACCAATCAATCTCTGTCCCTGTTCTCTTCTATTCCATTATTGACAACCTTCTATTGTCAGATATTCCATTTCTGATTGATATTATATACTACTTATGACGACATAAGTAGCACACTATACAGTACATGTGATCATGAACTGTTACAAAGCATGTGTTGAAATCAATAACAAAATCGATAACTACTCAATAGGATAATAACAAAATGATTCATTATTCTTTATAGTTCGTTTTAAGAATTAATGTTAAATATTGCTTGATCAATGTATTGTTACCTTACTTACACCTATTACTCGTCGTGGAGGAGCATAGGCCAACCACCAACACTCACTATCCAACCTTGTCTTGGATAATTTTTTCCAGTACTTTCCATTTGTTATTCATCCTTTTCATATCTACTTCTATTTCTCAATGTAATGTGTTTTTTGATCTTCCCCTTTTTTTGGTTTCTCTTAAGGATTCCAACTTGGGACTTGACTCATGATGCAGTGTGATGATTTCGGTAATGTATGTCCTATTCATTTCCATTAATTTCTGAATACTTATTTCTCTGATTTTTTTTCAACTTATTTTTTTCTTTATTCATTAGAAATAATAACTCAATGGTATTTTACAGATTCAGACAAGTTGTCAATTTCCTTTATTCCTATTAGAACAACAACAAAATGATCAAATAAACAAATAGGAAAATGTCAAATGATTTGAATTGAAACCAATAGTCTACCATATCTTTCTTTTCTTCCTACCTACCTACCTTCCTTCCTTCCTTCCTTCCTACCTCACCCTCACCCTCCCCTTCCCCCCCTCAAAGAAAAGAAAAGATCAATAACAGTACTACTAGTAGTACGGTAATTTAAATGTACTAAATCATATTGTCAATCTTTAATTAATAGAAGAATAATGAAGGAATCTATTCAAAGATACCATAGTCTATAAACAAGAGAAATATTATAGACATTTCATTTGGTAATGTATTCGTACTATACCCCTGAAATGTTATTTAATAAATAAGAAAAAGAAAATATGACATAAGATTATTGGAAATATACTTAGTGACAACAGTATTGAATATTGGTTACAATAAAGTATTTGTTAAAAGTAAAAAAAAAAAAAAGTATATTCGTGAATTGGTTGAAGTTACACATTAACACCGTTGGATGTCGGCCAGTTCAGTGGTTTAAAGCTTAAGTGTTCACTCGCGAAAGTTCTGGGTTCGAATCTCGCGGAGGGGGGGGCGGGATTTTAGATGCTTATTGCCGTTGAAGAGTTCCATACTAGGATGCTTTCAGATTTTCCATGATGGTCTAGCATCAATTGACTTATGAATACAATTATGAAATATATCAGTATTTAAAATTTGGTGAATACATAAATTTCTTACTGTTGTTGATCGTTACTGTTATAAACCTGCTGTGTAACTCGGTTATAAACATAAATTCTCTATTTGATTTTATATATTCTATTTAGGTTAATTTGGTTTAAGCAACGATAGTAATCAAAATCTAAATATGAATTAAGTTGGCAAACTTTAATTTAAATATTCGTTTATGTAGACAAACAATGAGAGAAATAAAAGGAGGAAGCTGTTTGTTCTGACTATGTTGAAGAGACAGACCCATACTTACTAGCAAACATATATACAAAGAGTACTCAATTCTACACAAAGGTAATCGTTGAGGTGATATATATCTGAATGATAGAACAAAAAAGAAAATTAGAATAATTTATCA